CCTGGAAGGTCAACATTTTTTTAAAGAAACTCACTATAAGTAAGTTCCATTTGGTGTTCCCAACGCAGATAAGTTATTCCTCTTTTCTTACCAACGCAACGACGACCCTTTTCAGGGGTATGCGAATGTTTTCTATACCAACATGACCTTGCAATAAAAGAAGTTGTGTTCGAATTCGCTAAGCCATAACGCATTCGTACATACATATGTATGTAGCTTTTGTTATATGCTTCATAGTACCATACGTGAACCAAAGCCGAAAGAGGGTTAATGTAAACAAATATAAGAATTGTTTACATTTAAATTTTCAAATAAGCGTACGTCAAATATTGATTTCACTTTGTTTATTGCATTATGCATAAAATCATAAATGGAAATTAATCAGAAAATTTTTGAGGTTATGCAAATAAGTTTTTTTTTGCAAACCAATAATAAAAAGAAACTTTTTTAAATTGGGACCTAGGTTCTCACTTAAAGTTTTGTTTTCCATTTAAAATTTTGCTTTAATTATTCGAACTTTACAAAAAAATGCACGTGAAATTTACAAAATAAACAGGTTGCGCAAACAACGGGTCAATAACGTTTTGTAATTTGGTTTATTGCTGTCTAACGGTGTTTTTTATTTTACAAAAACTAAGTGAAGTTTCTGTTATTTTTTCCTACAGAATGGCAACAAAAAATAATGTAAAACTGCCTTTACGAAATTGGACTTTCGCACAGCCAAATGAACCATTTGACCTAATGTGCATTGGCTTAAGCGGTTCCAGCGATAATCGATATGAGAATTTCAGTTTGTATGGGAGGTTCCACGCCCCACTTTTCGCTCAAAGTACGGTATTGTTAACGTATGTATGTGGCTGTTTAAAATTTAGGACGTTAGCATAAGGCGGTTCCAGAGATAGCCGATATGAGAAGTTAAGTTTGCGTGAGGAGCCACACCCCCTTTTCCAATATCTGCCACTTTTCACCATAAGTATGCTACTGATAACATATGCAGCTATGTTAAATTTAAGGACGTTAGCTTAAGCGGTTCCAGATTTAAGCGATATGAGAAATTCAGTTTGTATGGGAAGTGCCACGCCCCCTTTTCCAATAGCTTCCAGTTTTCGCCATAAGTAGGGTATTTACAATTTATGCATCCGTTTCATGTTTCAGCGTAGTTGGTTTAAGAGATATATTGGTGCCCTCAAAAAAGGGGCTTCAACATTTTATTATGACGAATGTATATGTGTAGATATCTATCTGTTCAGAATAATAGAGATTACGCCAAGTTCGAACACTGTTGTTTGCTTGATTGCTTTCAAGTGATCTTTATTGAATTAATGATTACGTTTTTATACAAAATAAATGCTTACGTAACTAAATAATAAGGCCATAAAAACTTTAGATCGTAAGCAAAATTATTGTAAAGGCTTTACATAAGCATAATTAATGCAAATGCTTTATTCCCACGTTTTTGTTGACATAAGCATATTCCACATTTTGCGTCTACTTTCATTTGCGTGCATTAATCAACAATGTCTTATATGTAACTTGACACATACATGCCTAATTATTTGCCTATAAGAATACACTAAAAGGCATAAAGCGCAAGCTACGCATAAAAGAATGCAAGCGAAAATTAATACCCTGTTGAATAAAGCCAATGCAATATTAATATGTCGACTTTTCTTATTTAATAACATCCTCCCCCCGGTGAGCGCAGCTCGAATTCCTTGTCAGGTTCTGTCCTAAATGTTTATCGTAAAGTCCAAACTTCCTTGAGAATGTCGAGGCGCAGGTGTGGGTTTTTCATTTTGACCGGATGTGGTTGCAGTCGTGGACGCGTGCAATGTTTCCTGTTTGGCTGTTTTAAATTTTCTTTTGACTAGCATGAACACCAAAAGGCACAAAACTGTAACCAAGGCAGTATATCCAACCGTTATGTGGTGCGCATTTTGTGCTTCAAGCTTATTTGGGGAGTTCTAATATGCGTTGATTGGCCAATGATGATTGTAAGGACGTGAGGTTTTGTATTTGTGTTATGTATTTCTCATCATCCCGTGATTGAAGAAGAGGCTTTATATGTTCTGCTGCAGCTACTTCGGAAATTTCTCCCAGGCTAGTGTAGGACGAGCAAAGACTCGTCGATATCAACTGATCTGCTTGAACTGATATAAAATTATGTTTGAGTATGCAGTCTGGTTGGAGTGATAACAGTCCTGATCCTTTTAGAATCACCTGAATGATTTCTTTTCCATATACTGCTGTCGCACGAGATGAAACTGACGTGGCATAAATCCACTGATTTTTATGCTGTAGTGATATCCATGCAACATCGTTTGGTGTTTTTCGCAGCTGACAACTTGACTGGGTGTTGTTGTTGAATAAATTTACTTCACATGCGCATTTAGATGAACCGTGACTATAACGAATTTGAATTTTAGAACAGATGTAATTTCCTTTTTTAATATCCACACAAGATTGAAATTTGGAGATGCTCAGAGGGAAATATTGACCGAGAGCTGTGTTTATTGCCAAAACTGCAGCACACGGACTTATTTCAATCATAGTCCCATTAGTCCAAGTAGGAATTGGTAGCAGATTGAATAAGTCGTAACGATCATGCTCTACCAGAGGCAATGTGATGCTGAATACAACATGCTTTTCTGTAAGTCCTCAATTAACCGTGATGTTTTGGTATAGCTGGAGTAAATCTTCTTGGTTTACAGGCAGTTCCAATGGTGCTGATAAGTGAAGTTTAATTTTGTTTACTTCGTCTTGCAATTGGCTGGGCCTCAGCAGAAGAGGACTTATTTTTCCGTGATGAGTATCTATTAGAACGGCTAATATTGCAGATTGCATTCTTTGCAAATTGGCTGCCATAAGTGTGAGTTGGATGGATAACGAGGAAAAGATTCGAAATAATTTTTCTTGGTATATCTCATGCGTGTCGTTGCTGATCCTCTGGAATATTTGACTCACTTGTTGATCAATGATGTCGAACTTCCTCTTGACCGCTTTTTGATCCTGCTTCAAAATGTTGATGGTTGAGTCCACAATGGATGTTTGATTTCTGATCAGGTGCAGCAGATGTAGTTCATTTTCCTTAACGTGTGTGATTGTTTTGGACATTTGTTCTGCATATTCTGCGTCCAGTACTCCAAACAAAGAATGAGCGATATTTCCAACTGCATCAATGGCACCTCGTTTACGCCGATTAGATTTTACTATTGCGTAGTCTAGCTGCAACTCTTTTTCAGTCTGTTCAAGATGTGCTACCAGAGAAAGACATGAGCTTTTTTGTGTGATTTCTTGACATAAATGGCGCAGGGCCCTTGTGCCATTTGACAGCGCTGCTAGTTCTACCAAAAATCCTTCCATGTCATAGTAGATTATTAGGTTCCAATCGGTGGTTGATATGGCTGTTGAGCCTATTCCTTCAAAATGAATGCCAAGCCTTGATCCAAATCGCTTATTTTGAAGTTCAGCTCCTAAAGCCAATGGTAAGATGAGTAGGGTAATCAGAAGTGTAGCAAGTCCTTGGTGTAAGGAAGGATTATTCCTCTTTGATGGAATTTTGTCTTCCTCAAGCAGTTTGTTGGTTGATTGTCGTTCTGTGGCATCATTTGTTTCCTTGGGCAAGGGTGCAAGCCGATGAATAGGCCTCTTGCATGTGCCACTAGCAGTTTCTACATCAGCCACTCTCACTACACCGTCGTTTCCTTCATATACATTGATGATTCTTCCTAATGGCCACTGCAGTACCGGTGTGTTGTCTGCTTTGATGATCACCATGTCACCCACGTTGATGTTGTTGTGTTGTGTCTTCCACTTATTTCGCAGCTGAAGGTCCGATAAATATTCGCGGGACCACCGATTCCAAAACTCGCTTTTGAGGTGAGAAACAAGTTTCCATCTTGTTAATAAATTTGTTTGCTGTGGCCTACACGTTGGATCAACTTGGGCATTAAAGGGTTCTCCTATGAGGAAGTAGCCTGGAGTTAAAGCTGTTAGATCGTTAGGATTGTCGGACATTGTGCTGATTGGTCTGGAATTCAGGATTCCTTCCACCTCGATGATTACCGTGTCCAATTCTTCAAACGTTAAGGACGGTGTCGAGGTGCTTCTTATTAGTAGATGCTTAGCTGATTTTACCGCTGCTTCCCGTAAACCGCCAAAATGTGGAGTCCCAGGAGGTATAAAATGAAATGTTATTCCCTTTCCGCTGCACTGCTTTACTATGGATTCTCGTGATGAATTTCCATAAACAACGTCAGTAAGTTCAGAAAGCTGGATTTCGCGCCTACAAAATTGGTTGCGTTGTCACAATATAAATTTTGACAATGTCCTCTTCGGCTTATAAATCGTTTTAAGGCACCAATAAATGCATCCGTCGTTAAGTCGCTGACTAATTCCAAATGCACTGCCTTTGTGGCAAAACAGCAAAATACCGCTACATAGGCCTTTTGTGGTTTCTTTCCCCTTATCTTGAAGTGAACCCAAAATGGCCCGCAGAAGTCCACGCCTGAGTTGATGAATGGTCTTGCTGGAGTTACTTGTTGAAGGCAAGTTCCCCATAATTTGACTCATTAGTTTCGGCTTAGCTTTGGCGAGTCTTACACAGGTTAGCACAATTGATCGTGCCAGCAAATTTCCCTTAATAGGCCAAAATCTTTGCCTTGTGTAAGCGCTTGGGGTCCACAATGACGGTTTTTTTTATGGATCATTTGTACTAATAATTTGGCGAGTGAATTGTTTGTGAATTGTGAATTTGTTTGGCATCGTATGCAAGTTCTGATGCTTGTAGACGCTCTCCAACTCGGATGATGCCATTATTGTCCAGAAACGGTGACGGGCTGCGAAAAGAACTGTTTTTGCGAACTTCGTTGTATTTTGTAAGGTGCTGAAGCTCTTCCTCAAAGTCCAATTGCTGCATTGTACGAACGATTATCACAAGCGCTTTTTCCAATTCGTGTACGGTCAAGGGAATGTCTGACTGCCGCGATTGGCTTCTGGCCTGGTTGATAAATCTCAGCATGTAGCCTGTCACTCTTTGTAATGTTTTGAAAGAGCCATTGTGTCGAATGCTATAAAGTACGCTTCCTTCATGTCCAGTGGTTGCAACAGCGACTGATGTCACCCTTTTCCGTTCCATGTTGATACCTTCGTCGATTACTGATAATGCCTTGGAATACTTTGAAGGCCAAGTGTCTTCTTTACCAAGCAAGATTGTTGGCCCATAAAACCACATATTGCAGGTTTCTAGTCTCCCCGGCGGCAGTCCTCGTGATAGAATGTCAGCTGGGTTGTCTTTTGAGCTTATATGCTGCCATTGTTCAGTGGTAGTGTGCTCATGAATAACAGCTATACGGTTTGCCACAAATGTTTGGTATGATGCTGAGGATGAGTTAATCCATGCCAACACGATTTGTGAATCAGTCCAAAAGTATGTAGCCACATCGTCTAGCTTAAGGTCTGATTTGACCCTTGTAGTTAGTTGAGCACCCAGTACTGATGCACAGAGCTCAAGCCGTTTCAAGGGTGCCACACGTGATTTTGCACAGAGCAGCCTCACTTCTACTCGTCCTCATCCAGCTCGGATCTAATGTAAATCGCAGCACCATATGCCTTTTCTGATGCGTCGGAGAAGACATGAATTTGAATTTTTGCTGGGATGTATCCTTCAAACACGTGCCGGGAAACTTGCATGTTGTCCAATTTTTGCAAATGATTTCGAAATGTTGTCCATCTCTCATTCAAATCGGCTGGTAATGCTTCATCCCATGTCAGCTTCAGTTGCCAGAGTTCTTTTGCAATTTTCTGCAAACATTTGGTGGCTAAATATGGAGCAGATCTTGTCCTATATGTGATTGTATTTAGCTGATAATGCTTTACTGGTAGGCTTGAATCCTTTCGCCAGATGATAAGTTGGAATTTGCGCTCGTCCGGTTGAATGAGCATCTGTCGATACATTTTTTTCTACATCTGTGGTGAAGACGAACCTGGGCAAACGGAAGCGAAGTAAAATGGTGAAAAGCTCGCTCTGAACAGTGGGTCCGGTATACATGAGGTCGTTCAAAGACATGCCAGTGGACGATTTTGCTGATGCGTCGAACACCACACGTAATTTTGTAGTGCGGCTTTAGGGTCTCACAATGCAATGGTGAGGAATGAAGTACCTAGGTTTACTGATGGAATCAATATCCACTTGCGTCATGTGCCCCAAGTTATCATATTCCTCCATAAATTGTACATATTGATTCTTTGTCTGGAGCGATTTTGCCAGTCGACGTTCTAAGGCCAGGAATCGATTATACGCCATCCCATAGGATTCCCCTAAGGCCTCCGGATTTTCATGAAACGGTAGTCTTACCATGAATCTCCCATTTTCATTGATGAGTGTATGTTGTGCGAAATGAGCACTGTTTTTCTGCTACGGAATGTTGTTTTCTTACAGTTGCAACATCCTCAGGTTCCCATAATCGAGCAATGGCTGCATCTAAGTTGATGTCATCGTTGGTACAGATTCCACATATTGCATTTGAGATGTAGTTGCCACCAACTTTTCCCGTTATGATCCATCCCAGCACTGTATTTTCAGAATGGGTAGGTCATCTGACAGTTTGATTTGCCCTGCTGCCATCAGTTGGTTGTAGAATTCCGCCCCCAACAATATATCAATTTTGTCAGGACGATTGAATGATGGATCGGCTAACATGATGTTCTCAGGTATTTGCCATTCGTCGATCTTGATTTCTTGCGAAGGCTGCGGGGATATAATCTGAGGCAATACCGCTGCCTCTAGCCGCGTTGTAAAGTTGTTGATCCGAGACTGTAGCGCCACATTGACTCGATGCTGTATCTTAGTGCTCCTCGACCTGATGCCACTAATGGAGATTGATGGTTTAGTTGAGATGCCAATACGTTTAACCAGTCGTTCAGTCACAAAATTAACTTGTGAGCCTGAATCGAGAATTGCCCGACACTGCACTTCTGTTCCGATTCCTCTAACTTTCACCATGGCAGTGCTGAGTAGTACATATGTGTTTGACTTTGTGTGCTTTGCGGTGGTAAGTGACGCTGCTTCGTCTTTTGATGGCGTTGATTTGGTCCTGGATGGTGTAGTACTTTGCGATTCGTTTCCTTGTGTTGGAGTGGCTACTGATGTAATGTCTTTGCTCACATCCCTTTTTGAATCCTCGAAATGTAACAGTGTGTTGTGTTTTTTGTTGCATTTCAGACAGTTTCTTAATATACAATTTTTAGAAACATGTCCCGGTTTTAGGCAATTGTTGCAATATTTCTGCCCTTGTATGAACTGAAAGCGTGCCGATGGAGACTGTTGTAAAAATTCCTTGCAAGAAACTAATGGATGTTTTCCTTTTTTGCACATGCTGCAAGTGTCATTTCTATGACCTTTGGATGTGACTGAGGTGCACACCTTTGCAGTTGAGCTTGTAGATTTGTCTTTGACACCCATCGCTTCCATGGATTGAAAGTGTTTCTCCAGAAATTGCAGGAATTCCTTGAGTGTTTGTACCTCCCGTGGCTTTGATAATGATTGTTCGTACCGCAAACGAGTCGGTTGATCCAATTTCTTTAGTAGAAGGGGGAGCAGAAGTGGATCCCATGTCGATGTGTCTATCTGCAAATTTTGCAATGCTAATATACATTCTTGTGTTGTGTCATGCAGTTTTTTGACATTGTCCATTGATGTGCTTCCAGGTGTAGTAGTTAGCTCATGTACTAACTTGCTGACCAGCAAGCGTTTGTTGTTGTAACTCTCCAGAAGCATGAACCAAGCTGCATCAAAATTCTCTCCTGTTGATGCGAAATGTTTAATTAGATTTCCAGCCTCCCCCACTAAGTGAGTTTTCAAGTACCACATTTTCTGAACTTTTGAAAGAGGTTGATTTATTACCAGTTGCGAGAATAGGTCATGAAATTCTTGCCATTTTAAATAGGTGCCATCGAATTTTGGAATTATTATCTTCGGCAATGAAATGGATTGCAGTTTAATCGGAAGTTGGTTTGAAGATTGCTCAGTATGGGAGTCACTACTAGCTGCTTGCAAAGTACTCCATACCTTTTCTTCAAGTGAAATGAAGTTATCGACCTTGTAGCCATGCTCAGTTGGGTTGTCGAACATCTCATATATCCTGAAGTGAATGTCTTCTATATTTTCCCACAGTTTATTAATTGTTGGAACACATTGTGGTGAAACGTTGTCGTTCAGTAACCGTCGCAACGAGGCCATCATTACCCCTTGTCTGTGAACTAGTTTAGTGTACTCGTTGGAAGCTGCCTGTTTGGTTCCAGTATCATGCCGTGCTTCTGTGTTGACTTTTGAAGCTGAAGCATCATGTTGGTACTTCCTTCACCAGTTGTTAAGCGCAATTCTCTCGCCGGGGTTTGAGCCAATTGGAGCACTGCGGGCTCGAAAATCTCCTTGTACTGATTTACGATTTCCATTATATTATTATAGTAGTCCTTTGTAAAGTAGTCGTGGTCCAGCTGGGGGTTTTCAAGCAGTCGAAGTCAGTTGTTTTAAACTTCGACCACTCGCTGTCCAGTCTTCTCAATCGCTCTTCGTAATAGCTGACTGACTGCTTCCTGGATTGCGGGTCCTTTTTAAAGTTTCGGACAATTGATTCAATATTGCCGCCCGTTTCTCTTTGTTGTCTGGTTAAATCCTCGAAACGATCCATTTTTCTTCTTTTAGTTTAGTTTTGTGGCTCCTTAAACTGCTGCACTGGCCTTGTTTAAGCTGAATGTCCTTTCACAGGGGTCACCAGAATGTTCAGAATAATAGCGATTACGCCAAGTTCGAACACTGTTGTTTGCTTGATTGCTTTCAAGTGATCTTTATTGAAATAATGATTACGTTTTTATACAAACTAAATGCTTACGTAGCTAAATAATAAGGCCATAAAAACTTTAGTTCGTAATCAAAATTATTGTAAAGGCTTTATTCCCACGTTTTGGTTTACATAAGCATAATTAATGCAAATGCTTTATTCCCACGTTTTTGTTGACATAAGCATATTCCACATTTTGCGTCTACTTTCATTTGCGTGCATTAATCAACAATGTCTTATATGTAACTTGACACATACATGCCTAATTATTTGGCTATAAGAATACACTAAAAGGCATAAAGTGCAAGCTACGCATACAAGAATGCAAGCGAAAATTAATACCCTGTTGAATAAAGCCAATGCAATAGTTTCTGACAAATTAATTAATTTCCCTTCAAGGTGCTGACATATGTTCCAAATATGAATGAAATCGGTCCCGCCGTTTGGTAGTTTAGTGACATACAATATAGGAAAAACTCTATGAAATTGTGAGATCGTGACATCTCAGCTTTCTTAATTTTTTGGCAACAATAACAAAAAGTTTTGGATTTTTTTAAACCGAAAAACCTACCGCATAGAAGATCCAAAAAAGTACTTTTTACAGAATTGAAATCGGTTCAGCCGTTTGGGCAGGCATCGCGGTCATACGAAAGACATTTCATTTTTATATATCGGTTTTTAAAGTACAAACCGCGTATCGTCAATCTACAAAACCGCGCAACTGACATTTGCTGCCAAAAATTGGATTTGCTCACACAAGCTCTTGGCTCAATCCTTATCCATTCAACCTGAAATATACTAGCCAGAAATGCGATTGCTTTATAAGAAAGAGAACCATTTTAAAATATGAGTGTTTTTACTCTCTAGAAAATAATTTATGCAACCTCACAGACGCGGTTTTGCATTATCTTGATACGCGGTTTTGCATTTTTAACTTTACTTTAAACGACGATATATAGATTGCACACGATTTAGATCAACCCCACTAGAAGATAATTCTGAGTCTGCCCTAAATATTAAAAATGCCAACTTAGATAATTTCTGGACAAGAATGCAAAATTCATATGATATGGTAGTAGAGACAGAGGAGCATGACCTTCCTGAAGATTTTAAACTTTGTACCTACAGCAAATACCGGTCGTGCCAATCACCTATGAGAACCCCAAAACGGAAATTGGTGACCAGCTCCACCTCCTTAAACAAATGAGCATTCCCACGCTTACGCTCCCTACCTCACAACCCAAAGACGAATCTGGCTTTGGCTTAAAAGTTCCTCCTTGTGATACTGAGGTCTCTTACGGGGGTTATGAACAATGACCGTCCTTCCGTGACATGTTCACGGCGGTCTACATAAACCACCCTAAACTCACAAAAACGCAAAAATTTTACCACCTTAGGTACAAAACACATGGTAAAGCCGGCCAGATCGTGCAACAATTCGCCCTAAGTGACGACAATTTCGAGCTGGCATGGGAAGCCCTCCGGTCCCGATATGAGAACAAGCGTGTATAAGTGGAAAACCAAATTCGAGTTCTAATGAACTTAAAGTCAATTCAAGTGGAGAACAGTGAAGACATTCAAAGGCTTCAATCCACTGTAAACAACTGCGTCCAAATCCTGGCAACCCAGAATGTATCCACCAAAAGCTGGGATCCCATTTTAATCTACTTAATTACCTCGAAGGGAACACTGTTAATTTTTTTCTTTTTTTTTTTAATTTTCATGTGGCGCAGGCCCTTAGGCTAGCGTCTATGTAGCCTGTGCTTAAATCCGGCCCTGTATGTAAGTGTATACTGTTGCGTAACTTTGTTTTTACCAAGTTTAGCTGACTGAATAAAGTTCCAGGTCTGCATTAGACCAAGGTAGTGAAAGTAAATTAAGTGCAAAATCCGCCAGATCGGAAAAGTTTGAAATTCTGCCCAAAACTGCTTTGTACTACTTATATTAGGTCTAATCTTTTTTGTACGAGTTCGAAAAGAGCACTCGTTTAAATTTCAAATTACATGTAAAGTAGAAATGTGCCGGCCGCTGTGGTGTAGTGGTAAGCAGTGCGCGCTTCCACTCCGCAACGCCTGGGTTCAAACCCTGGTCAAAGCAGCATCGCAAAAAATATAGAAAAAGGTTTTTTCTTAACAGCGGTCGTCCTTCGGCAGCCAATGGCAAACCTCCGAGTGTATTTCTGCCATGAAAAACAGCTTCTCATAAAAATACAATCGCCGTTCGGAGTCGGCGTAAAACTGTAGGTCCCTCCGCTATGTGTGACAACATCAAGGCGCACGCCACAAATCGGAGGGGAAGCTCGGCCAAACACTAACATATGTGTAAGCGCCAATCTATTATTATTATTATAGAGATGTGCCGGATTCGGATATCCGGTAGACTGTGCTGCCCTTTATAAATTTCACAATATTGTTATATTCGGTTTTGTTGTTTAGCAACATACTTATGACCAGATTATCTGCTTTTCCTAGCTGAACTATCCAATAAGTAATTAAAAAATACAAATTTTCTTCTCTGAAATCCAAGTTATAAAATAATCCTGTATTAAAAAGATAACTTCTCCGCCTGCAACCCTGATTTATCGATTATCTTTGGTAAAGAGAGGAGAAACGTCGAGGACAAAAGATAAACAACAATGAACGCCGCTAAGCATTGTATTTGATGTATTTTTATAAAAAAATGTGATGAAAATCGAACTATTTTGCATGTTTACATATCGTCCCACTTCCCGCATCGTCAAGTTTTTGTAGTTATGTGGATAGCCAAATGATGGGTAGACAAGGCAGTGAGATATATTTACAGCTACCCCTTATACCCAGACAAGGAGATTCTTTAATTTGGTGGAAGCATGGCCGCAAAGAACACTGGATCACAAATTTTAGTTTGGTTCTTGTTCTCCAGGCGCCAATATTCAGTTCTAATGTAGAATTGCTCGGTGATTCCGAAAATCGAGTTAATTTTTGCAATTTACCGTTATTCAGCTTAAGACAAGTTCCACTTCATAACTTATATCTTACGAACCAATTTAACAATCTTAAAATGAGGTACGTCAAATGAAAGCTGATGAAATTCTCCATAAAAGATATATATACGCCACTTTCCGATAGGACTGATAGTTTCTGACAAATTAATTAACCATTCCAGTTTTTTTTTATTTATTTATGAAAAAATGAAAAAAAATCAAACCTTAACACTAGAAAAATTTAAAAAGTAACAGGTTATGTGCAAAATTTTTGCATTGGTGCTAAAGCCTGTTCTGTTACAAAAAAAAAATAAAGTTACTAATGAAAAAAATCGATTTATAAATAAAGAAGTAATGAGTCGTCAAATGAAAATGCGCAAAGATTTTTTGTATGAAATATGAGCAGAAAAGCGCGTTACTCAGGTGTACGTGGCTTATGAGTATCAGACATCTGCAGCGGGTGCATAATTTTCGTGTATACTCGATCATCTAACAAAACCCGTTTTGCATCATTCTCTGTATACGAGCAGAAGTATTGTTCGTTAGCGACTGAGCTCACGACGAACATGTTGGCCACAACACCCGATTGCTTTTCATACATACTTGATTGGGTTCGGGTGCTTTGCAGCTCAATATACCCGGGTGTTCGAGTTTCAACCCGAGTGTGCACAAAATTTTCTTGATTGGCTTATGGCGTTTTCGTTTCTACAAAAAATGTTGCCTTCTCATCGCGCTCTTCTTAGTGTTTGTGCGTAGAGGGCAAAGAGAATGTTGCATCATCACGACGCCTACATTCATGTAGGTATTAAATGTGTGTAGATCGGCAATGCCCAAGCCCTATTCACTCGGTGCACATTTATTTTTTGTAAAAGTACTTATGTACCTACATAGTTTTAGGCTGTGTTCTAATATATACACACACAGCTTTCCACGCGAAACTATACGAAATAGATGCAAAAACATTTTTGTCTACTTCGCTTCTAATTTTTTCATTGCGTATGCACAAGCACAAAGCAACAACATTTTCATATGCTTTGTGGGAACATATTGGCGCCAGTTACCTTCAGCGATAAATTTCATTGTTGTCCTGCATTTTACGCAATGTTCGGGTGTCCGTTTCATTGTTACACAAATTTTCGGGTTAGCNGTAATGAGTCGTCAAATGAAAATGCGCAAAGATTTTTTGTATGAAATATGAGCAGAAAAGCGCGTTACTCAGGTGTACGTGGCTTATGAGTATCAGACATCTGCAGCGGGTGCATAATTTTCGTGTATACTCGATCATCTAACAAAACCCGTTTTGCATCGTTCTCTGTATACGAGCAGAAGTATTGTTCGTTATCGACTGAGCTCAAGACGAACATGTTGGCCACAACACCCGATTGCTTTTCATACATACTTGATTGGGTTCGGGTGCTTTGCAGCTCAATATACCCGGGTGTTCGAGTTTCAACCCGAGTGTGCACAAAATTTTCTTGATTGGCTTATGACGTTTTTGTTTCTACAAAAAATGTTGCCTTCTCATCGCGGTGTTCTTAGTTTTTGTGCGTAGAGGGTAAAGAGAAGGTTGAATTTTTCGGTAGTTTGTTTAAGTGTACATTTAACCATTTCTTATATTTTTGCTCATACAAAATGCGGCATCACGACGCCTACATCCATTTAGGTATAAATGTGTGTAGATCGGCAATGCCCAAGCCCTATACACTCGGTGCACATTTATTTTTTGTAAAAGTACTTATGTACCTACATAGTTTTAGGCTGTGTTCTAATATATACACACACAGCATTCCACGCGAAACTATACGAAATAGATGCACAAACATTTTTGTCTACTTCGCTTCTAATTTTTTTCAATGCGTATGCACAAGCCCAAAGCAACAACATTTTCGTATGCTTTGTTGGAACATATTGGCGCCAGTTACCTTCAGCATAAATTTCATTGTTGTCCTGCATTTTACGCAATGTTCGGGTGTCCGTTTCATTGTTACACAAATTTTCGGGTTAGCTGCGGGTGTCCGAGTGTGGTGTTCGCTTGTGCTCAATTTATAGCGAGGGTGATCGAACAGACTCGTTCGTAACCAAAGCAGCTGTCGGGTATGCATCTCGATCGAACACATANTGATCAAAAAGGCTCGATCATACTCAAAGCTGCTCTCTGATGAGTATCTTTCTTCACAGGAGATTTCACACAAAAAATCTTTGCGTATTTTCATTTGACCACTCTTGACCTGTTGTTTTTAAAATTTTTCTTCTGTTAAAGTTTGATATTTTTTTAATTTTTTTCATATTTTCATTATTATACTATATATCGTTTATGGAGAATTTCATTAGCTTTCATCTGCCGTATTTCATATTAAGATTGTTAAATTGGTTCGGAAGATATACGGGATTAAGTGGAACCAATTTTTGTTTTAAGCTGAATAACGGTAAATTGCAAACATCTCGAAAACGTATCCATAAAAAAATAAGTAGATTCTCGGAATCAGCGAGCAATTCTATATAAATTGGATAGTGACATCCATTGAAAATTTTTGCTGTAAACCAATGGAATGAGTTTTTTGCAGATTTTTAAAAACCTGCAAACATGTTTTTTTTAGCAACTTTCTAAATTGTTCATTTACAAACGTATAGAAAAGTTTTTCACCAATTGAAATAGAGTGGAATGCCTCTAAATAAAATAAATTTTTTACTTTAATTACTAATTAAATTTGATTATGAGAATACAAAGAAAAAAATTCTGAACTAGATTTTTAAATTTAATCTTCTATAATCGAAATCCCGAAATCCGGCCGAGTTTTAACCTGCCTTTTTAACCGTTCTTCTGTTATCCGACTGTCCGGCCGGATAAGCCGGATTACGGATATCTACCGGACACCCGGCACATCCCTAATGTAAGGCAACAAACAACACAGCTCGTATATGTTAACCGAGTTGATATCCGAGTATGTATAAGGTGCTGCCAAATTCAATTATGGCACTAATGTGAGTGATCGTCGAAAGTAATTGGAAAATTTCAAATTAACCGTCAAAATTTTTTTACAAAATAAACAAAATTACAAATATAAAAAAGGCAATAGTAACACAGTCACATTTGTTTTCTTTCATTGACCGTAAAAAAGAACAGACGCACACTGCGGCCAAAATTCTAAGGTTTAAAGAAATAATTCCAAATTTCGTACTAGGGGGTTTTCGAGGCCTCTAATTACGAATCCGCTGTCAGAATTGCAAACTTCAAAATGGCGGATCCAGTAAGCCGTCTGGTAAATTTCGGGCTTTTTAATTAGAATTCCTAGAAAGAAAAGTATGTCAATTTTAGTGTCACAAAGTCCAAGATTGAAGTAGCTAGGACTTCCCTTGATTTTTGAGAATTTTTTTTGTTGACAGTGCCGGTTATTTTCTTCCTTTCGAAGTATGTTCGATGATATGAAGAAAATGAGCAACGCCTTAAACAAAAAAAGTTTCCAAAAATCAAGTCCCACCTTCTTTAAACTTGCACTTTATTATACTTAAATTAAATGGGCCACAAAACTGCATACTCAAAATTTTACTGTGAAATCTAATTAAAAAGCTCGAAATTTATACATGGAGGTGAAGCTAATATGTATAATAGACTGCATCACCACAAAAAGTTGCGGTTTTTCCGCCGGGATTACAAAATGTATTACATTTTAAGACGTTCATTAAAATATTTCGGAAAAATATTAAGATTTAAGCGGTCTGGACCGATTTGAAAATACCTCCAAAAATGGTGTTTTTTATGAATAAAAATAGTTTCTTAAAGAACTTTTTAAAAAAAGGCATATGTACAAGTAGAATTGGATGCACTCAAATTGAGTGAAATGATTGTTTGGCGGTGGCGCACTGCCGCGAAGGGGAAAAGTCTCCACTATTGTACTCCGCCCAAAAACGGTGCCGATCAAGAGCAAGATTGTAGGAAAGAGAAATGACGCGAAAGACCGCAGTAGGGGTGTCGCCTTTTTGCTCACTCATTGCGGCACTTTTGTTGTCCGCCGTATGATGGCAATGGCAAAGCCCATGGTGTTTGTTTGTGTGCGCCGTGGTGGCGACCGCGAAAGCGCCCAAATTCTGTTTTAAGGAATAACGGGCCGGCGCCAATTGATCGGGCACCAACAACACCGGCACTGAGGCCCTATGCGGACCGGGGACCGGGGCAGAACAAAAAGAGCATTAAGTGAGGCAACACCTTTATTCCGAGTGCGTGAAGAAAAATTGAAATAGTGCAGTGTTGTCGGTTGGCTTCCCCTATTGTGTGTCCTAATTCTATCCTTTTTAGCATCCTGCACCCTGAGCCCAGTCATTTCGGCGGGTTAAAGTTACCCCCAACAGCTTGGGAGGTATTGCGAGTGGGTTCGTAACCGTTTGGTTGCGCCCAAAAAACAAGGTTTCGTCTTTTTAAATATTCGTGTTTTAAAATTTTCTGATAACTTAAAATTTTCGGCCCACCCTATTATTGCATATATATATATATATATATATATATATATTAGTNAAAAAACAAGGTTTCGTCTTTTTAAATATTCGTGTTTTAAAATTTTCTGATAACTTAAAATTTTCGACCCACCCTATTATTGCATATATATATATATATATATATATATATATTAGTTGGTGCCGTTCAGTATTTTTGTCGCTGTTGTCCCTAGCTAGATTTTGTTTGTTAGGTATTTGGATTGCGTGTACATTGCCCCTTGCAAGCAACCCCGCCGTCTCCACTGAGCCAGCCGGTTGCTTGGAATTTTTCTTGTCATCTCCCTGTTGTGCGTGCATTTGTTTATTTCGTTTGGCCCCCTTGTGTGGTTGTTGCACACGGTAAATTAGGTGGCCGGTAAGGACATATTAGGATGCACCAAATTTGAAGGTGACAAATTGCCCGACTTTAGGCAAGGAATTTTGATTACGTGGGATTACTTTTTCCAAAAGGTTTGTGGTAACACAAGGAGTTTAAAAGCAGGTGAGAAATTTGTGGTTGAAAACGGTGCAGTGAAAAGTGTTGTGCCAGACCCATATATACGTGCGTATTTATTGTGCAGTAGTAGTGTTGTTGTTTGTAATTCACTTAGTTGTGTCCATATATTGCGCACATTAGGCCTGTTCATTTGGCTAATTTTTGGTTTATTTTTTTCTAACAAAAGTTTTGTTTATTTTTTTATTAGAGTTAAATAGAAGGCGTTCTCGAGAAAAACGGGTTCGTGGCGGAACGTAGCGGACGCTTGTGCAAGCGGATCACAGATAAGTCTAGTGTATAAGCGATTAGGGCGCGGAAAAAAAATTAAATAACTAAAAGAAAACCAAAGTGGAAAAAACCAGTTTCAATTTAATTTTCTTGTGGAAGCGAGCTTTTTTTCTTCTTTGAGCTTAGACAAATTTTANTTTAAATAGAAGGCGTTCTCGAAAAAAACGGGTTCGTGGCGGAACGTAGCGGACGCTTGTGCAAGCGGATCACAGATAAGTCTAGTGTATAAGCGATTAGGGCGCGGAAAAAAAATTAAATAACTAAAAGAAAACCAAAGTGGAAAAAACCAGTTTCAATTTAATTTTCTTGTGGAAGCGAGCTTTTTTTCTTCTTTGAGCTTAGACAAATTTTAAATTAATAAAGCTTAGATAAGTATTAAATCCAACAAAACAAGTTACACACACACATATAGTATTTATATTGCGAAACGAACTTAAATACTCGCTGAAGTTTAGTTTTTTAGTTACGCACATACATATATTTGCATTAAAATATTAGCCGCTCCACTTTGCGTCGAAATTTTCTCGTACCCATACTTTCATATTTATATATACGTGCATATATACTCTTACTTGTACATATTTAGTTGCCGTGTTGTTTTAGTAGTGCGTGTACTTTTTTTTTTTTGGGTTAGGCTCTATTGTTGTCACGAGTTAATATCGCTTTCACGATATGAGTTAAAAAAATATATTTTTATTACTACGCCGAAATGCGTACACTTTATTGATATTCTTAAAACTGTTTATAATATAAGATCTTACAGCTATTTATACTAGTGAGATGCGGCTGCTGTTATCTGGTAGCAAGTTGTTTGTTGTTATTGAGATGCGGTAGTTATAACCTGCTTGCCATTTCTTTGTTGAAATTCGGTATCTGTTATCTTGTTATCACTTGTTTGTTATTGTTGAGATGCGGCGGTGGTTATCGCAGTGGATTATTCCATTGCCAGATGTTTGTTGTTTACATGTTGAGAATGCATTTCTTGATAATGCATGTTTGGTTGTTATTGATGATGCTTAGTGGAAACTTTGTTTACGTGCCTTGTGACGAAGTCATTAACTCCCCTCCTTCTTAAAATGAAGCGTCCTCGCTTTAACGTATATGTTGTTCTTGTTGGAGTCTGAATAGTTCTATTTGATACATTTCGTCGATGCTTGTTCTTCTTGCTTCCGCTTTCTTTGCTATGTAACATGTGCAGAGTTTGTCTATACCATAAATAAGTAATGCTAGTGTGCATAACCCCAGGATGCAGTAGAAGGTGTATTGGACGGGATGTTCCTCGATTGGTATCAGGAAAGTTGACATTGACATAGGACTTCTAGTTGTTCGTCATGTTGTTTGTATATGACATCTTTGTATTCCTGTTGCAGGTTGGAATATTGTTTTCCATCGATTGTTGCAGAGTAGTTGAATTGTATTAATTTCGGCCCATCTATTTTTATGTTGTTCCAGGTGTGGTTGTAATCTGTTATGATATTTCCGTTTTCAAGTATTTGGAGTGGTGCGTTGTTTTCGTGTATCACTTCACATTTGGCAGGCTTATTCTCCAATATGTTAATAGTGCAATTGTCTGAGTTCTTAATTTTACATATATAGTTCCCAACATAGTTTTTACATTTTTCAATAGGTGCAAAGACATTGTTACATTTTGCTATCTTAGAATCTAATAATATCTTTCCATGTTTGTATGCAAGTGGGTATATATTGAACAAGTTACATTTTGTGTTTAATATTGGATATTTATTACAATTGCGTGGTTAAAGTAGCAGACATGTATGTCAGAGTATTATAATATATTTATTAAAGGTGATGCTTCATTGGATACTATTTGTTGAATATCCTTTAAGTTTAGAGTTCCTGCGTAGAAGTTTCCATTTTTTGCAAAATTAATTGTATTAGCGACAGAGGATAGTTCGTTGTATACTTCGGTCATCACTAAATCATCTGTTATAATTTTAGGATCGAGAGTCTCTTAAATTCTTTCAAACTGTGAATTTATTTTCTTTTGTTTGTTACTGCATATTTAATCCTGTCTTAATTTCGATTAAGTCGTCGTGATCGGGTGTACCCGTAATAATTTTAAGAGCTGACCCTAGAAAGTTAAGTGAACGTCTATCCCTAAAGATGTTAGGAAGTAATTGTGACTTAAGTGTCTCTCTTCGAGATTGTAAGTAGATCGTACTATTTTGTCATAGGGTGCTAATATTTTTGAAATGTTTGCTACATGATATAAAAATTAAGTGTCGTGGTACACGTATACTGGGTCGGTTTCTATCATTACTTATTTTTTGTCCTTCAAATCAATTATACTGTCGCAGAGGGCGGTGGAGGTTAAAAATAAAATTATTATTCTTTGCATGTTTGCACTCGTATATTGTCTTTGTGTATACCTGTACCACGATTTGTAAGTATTGTGTCACCTCTGTCTTCTTTTATTGTATGTTTCGCGTATTTCGTATTTTCGTACGTTTTTGTTTCGACGGTGTGTTTTGGAGTATATAACGTCCCCTTTTTTGTAAGTGATACTCTTACGATTTTTATTATGGTATGAAAGCACTTTGTTTTGATTTGTTTCGAGTTTTTTCTAATGTCAGGATACCCTCCTCGATTAAAGAACTCGTCCTCGGGTTTCTCTCCTGTGACTGAGTGAATTGTTTTGTTGTATCGTCGTACCGCGTTAAAAATTTCGTCTTCCGGTGAGTGGTTATGTTCCTGTGCTAGGACTCGAGCGAGTTCGATCAGGGTGCTATGTGTACGCTCAACTTGGCCGTTGGTTGTCGAATGAAATGTTGGTGTAACTGTATGTACAATTTGTAGTTTTTCGTAGACTTGTTTCGCACATATGCCCGTGAATGTTG